GGCAGCCAGTGTGGCGGACTACGGTCACCCCGTCCTGCAGCCCCTGCCGGCCGGGGCGTTCCCGCGCTGCCTGACCCCATGCCACCTTCACATATAGGACTGCACCAGCAGTCCTTGTGCCCAGAGGCACACTGGCAAGGCAGAAGAGGATAAGAGCGAACGAGAAGCTAAGCGGAGATCGCATCGACCGCATCGACGCCATCTCGACGCGTCGCGTTTTCGCGCGGAGAAAAGTGTCTCCTGGGGCCTCTTGGGGCTTCCTGGGGCCTCGTGGGGGTGGGGGGGCCGAAAAGCACTCCTCGCGAACATGTCCCGACATCAAAAAAGACCTCCTGGCGGTTCCAAGGGCGTCCTGGGAGCGGAGGGGCCGAAAAGCGCTCCCCGAACACAGGTCCCTGAAGCATCCTGGGGCCTTCTGGGGCCTCCCTGCAAGTAGCTGCAACACTGCTCTGACGGATTCCCCTAGGAGAGCTCCAAGCAATACACCACCACTAGTCCTGGCCAGGCCCATCCTGGGCCCGGGACTGGTGCACAGGCCCTCCTGGCCCAGGCCTGGAGGTCCATACACCAGTCCAGGGCCCAGGATGGGCCTGGCCAGGGCTGGTGGTGGTGTATTTTTGGCGTCCCTCCGATCCCTTGTGCAGCTGAAGCGCGTGGAAATCTCAAGCGAAACGGCCGTTCCAGCATCCGCGAGTAGAGGCAAGAATTGTCTGACGACCCCCTTTTGTGGCTCTGAGTTGCGAGGAAGTCTTGGGCGGAAACGCTCTTCCGGCATCCGCGAGTAACAGCAACCTGGTTCTGAAGGAACCCCATGTAATGCTACATTGCCAGAAAGTCTCAGGCGAAACGACCGTTTCCGCATTCGCAGAAAGACACAAAACTGACCTGAAAGACCCGCGTTCTGCAATGTTAAATTGGAAGGAAGTCTCGAGCGCAACGGCCGTTCGGGCATCCGCAATTAGCCGAAAAACTGCCCCAATGGACCCCCAATTGTGCTGCTAAATTGCAAAAGAATATCGAGCGAGAACGCCTTCTCTGAGGTTCGGGCCATCTTTGGCCAAGGACTCTCGGAATCAGCTACGAGGAATCATCGCAAAGGAGCGATGTTGAAGTCCCACTTCTAAAGAATAACTGTTGTTGAACCCCTGCCCGGTAATCATTCCAGTTGTCCATTCAAATGCTTTTCCTGGGGGCCGCACCTTGCTTTTTAACGGCAAGCGAATGGTCACCAAGCTGCGTTGTTGGGCCCCGAACAACAACAACAACAACAACAACAACAACAACAACAACAACAACAACAACAACAACAACAACAATCACTTTACCCGAACGCTCAGTGTTCTCACCAGTGCCAGGGTTTTCATGCGACGCCAGCCAATACCCCCACTTTGTGGGGGGGCAGTGCAAGCTCTACCAAATATCCACACGACTCTTCGCCACCACCCACACCCAGCTTCCCGCCCTATGACGTTCGGACACTTCACTTCGTGGCCTGCGGACGACCGTGGCTACTACACTGGCGTGGAGTACACACCCACAGAAGTTGTTAAGCCTACGTTCGTACACCCACAGAAGTTGTTAAGCCTTGTTAACCCACAGAAGTTGTTAAGCCTTCCACAGAACATCTGTTGCATATGATGCATCGGCGGCCGAGGGCGCAACCTATGGCGCAACCGCAAGGGATTATGGCCCCTGGCAGGCGCGCGAACCCCGTTGCAAGAGCGTGCGAAAGTAGCTCGCGCGAGCTCATGTAACATAAATGTTGGAAAACCATTGGTTTTTTTAGGATTCGGACAGCGCGCGCGGGTGGAAATTTTGAAAAGTCGTGCAGGTGTTTTTCGAGGACCTACGGTGCGATTCGTGTGATTTTATGATGCGCGGTGCTAAAATTCTTAAGAACCCAATGGTTTTTGGAGATTTCGGCGTGCGCGCGCGAAGAAAAAACGAATGTGTCCCGCATGGTATTATTTGACAGGGATGATGGCCCTGGCAGGTGCGCAACCGTTGTCGCAGAAGTTCGAAAAAGTTGCTCGCAAAAGCCCGTTTGACAGAAATGTTTAAAAAGTGTTGGGTTTCCTACGAATCCGCAAGAGCGCGCGGGATGAGATTTTGACATTTTTTTGTTGAAAAACCATTGGTTTTTTGATGTTTTTATGTTAAAATCGCTCCGAACACTAAGCTTTTGGAAGGATTTCGTCTTGCGCGCGCGAATGTCCACTTTACCTTATTTTTTGCAAGGGATTCTTGAAATTTGATTATATTAGAACAAGAAATGTCATTTTCTATTGTTTTTTGCAAGGGAAAGCGGATTACAACAAAACAACCGGATCCTGTACACACCCTCTTTTCTGAGGCTTCCTCACGAAAATGATGAAAATGTAGCTGCGGCCTAGGCGGCGCAGGGGGGGCGCGCACCAGGGGGCCCAACAATAATTATTCTTTAGAATAAATAATGTTCAACAACAACAATTACTAGCACGTGGGGACACTCCGTTCTCACCAGTGCCAGGGTTTTCATAGGAGGCGGGCAATACCCCCACTTTGTGGGGGGGCCGGTTCAAGCTCTACCAAATTTCCAAACGACTCTTCGCCACCACCCACACCCAGCTTCCCGCCCTATGACGTTCGGACACTTCACTTCGTGGCATGCGGACGACCGTGGCTACTATTCAGGGCCCCGCGGCCGACGACGACGGCGTGCGCGCGCGAAGAAAAAACGAATGTGTCCCGCATGGTATTATTTGACAGGGATGATGGCCCTGGCAGGTGCGCAACCGTTGTTGCAGAAGTTCGAAAAAGTTGCTCGCAAAAGCCCGTTTGACAGAAATGTTAAAAAGTGTTGGGTTTCCTACGAATCCGCAAGAGCGCGCGGGATGAAATTTTGACATTTTTTGTTTGAAAAACCATTGGTTTTTTGATGTTTTTATGTTAAAATCGCTACGAAAACTAAGGTTTTGGAAGGATTTCGTCTTGCGCGCGCGAATGTCCACTTTACCTTATTTTTTGCAAGGGATTCTTGAAGTTTGGTTATGTTAGAACAAGAAATGTCCACTTTAGCTTATTTTTTGCAAGGGAAAACCGATCGTAACAACACAACCGGATCCGGACTCCCCCGTTTTGCCTGAGACTTCCTCACGAAAATGATGAAAATGAGGCTGCGGCCTAGGCGCGGCGGGGGGGTCGTGCACCAGGGGTCCCAACAATAATTATTCTTTAGAAGTAATAATGTTCAACAACAACAGCAACAACAACAACAACAGCAACAACAACAACAACAACAACCACAACAACAACAACAACAACAACAACAACAACAACAACAACAACAACAACGGCTCCAATTATTCCGAAATCGCGCTTCCGCGCGGGAGCTCCGCACAATTGATACAGGAATCGCGCTCTCGCGTGGGACTTCCTCGCCATGGATTCAAAAGCCGCGCCCTCGACACTCAGGACTCCCGCTCTCGCGATGGATTTCCTAGCGACTTATTTGGGAATCGCGCTATCGCTCAAAACTTCCTCGCGATTCATGCAAAACGCACGCTTCAGCAACCCGCCTACTCGACCTGGCCGCCAAGGCCCCCCTTTCCGACCCGCCTGTTGGGGTCCACCCGCCAGGTCTTCCCTTCCCCTGCCTTAGGGGTTGCACGAAATACGCGTTGCAGGTAACACAGATATATACCCCCAAGGAGGCAAGATCGAAGACGAAGAGGCGGGCATCGAGGGTTTGGGATGGACGTGTTGGATGGCACGCGAACAAATAAGAGCAAACATACTTAAATTGTTTGTTGGTGGTGGTGGTGTTGTTGGTAGTGGTGGTGGTAATGTTGGTGTTGCTATCGTTATCATTAGTGTTGTTGTCGGTGGTGGCGTTGTTGTTGTTGTTGTTGTTGTTGTTGTTGTTGTTGTTGGGCCGGGGCCGGCTCGGGCGGCACTCCAGAACGCTTCGGCGTGAGCCTCAATTTCAACGGAAACGCAGCAAGCGCCGAAGCGAGAGCGCCAGTACAAATACAGGGGGTCCGACACGATTATTTGTTTGAGAACGAATACCCAACATCATCATCAGCATCAGCAGCATCATGATGATCATCATCACTGTAGCCACCGTCATCATCATCATCATCATCATCAGCAGCAGCAGCAGCAGCAGCATCAACACCATCATCATCATCATCATCACCATCATCGTCATCATCCTCAACCTCATCATGATCATCATCGTCAGCATCATCACAGCGCAGCACGGAGGGGGATGAGAGGTTGAGCGCATCCCACAAGTATGCAGCAGCCATCAAGCCTGCAGACTGTCGCGCGCGGCTTCTACCACCAAGGAAGCGAGGCAAAGGACGAGGGGGAGGACGAGGAGGGAGACAGCGGAGGACAAGGAGAAAGACAAAAGGGGATGGGATGGGATAAGGTTCGGACGGTCGACCGAACCGCCGTCTTGCCGTCGCGGTTTCCCAAGCTGATTACTCATGACCGACAAAGTGCACAAGCACGCCGTACTGCACACGAGGAAGGACGACGGACTCGAGCACTGGTACTCGGCTGCGTCGCCCAGTCCCATCCCCATCACGACGTCGACGGCGCTGCACCCTGCAGCGCCTCCACCGTGGCTTTGCACAGCGCGATGCAATCCGCATCGACGGCAGCATCACGACGAAGCGCCCCGAAGACCATGTCACAGTCGTGCCCACCGAGCCCGATTGCCTTCGCCGCCTAGTCGGGGCCCCCAAGCAGCGCCGACGGCAGTTCCACGTACTCCTGGACCCCTGGAGCCCCAGTGGACAGCACCTCGGAGCAGCCCTCGACCTGCGCCTCCGACGCCTCGACACTGGCCTCGAACGACTTGTCAGCCAGCACATCGGTCGCGAGCCGCCTCTGGGCCTGGCGGGCGGCGCGCGTCGCGACCACCTGGGAGTAGGCCTCCTGGTTGGCCGTGATCACGGGGCCGAGGCGCTGCTGCAAGCCAAGCTCCTCCTCGTTCTCCGTGAAGTTCT